TTGTGCATCTAACTTCTCAAATCATAGAATTCACCATCTACTAGTACGTGACCTGAGCATGAATGTGCGCCATGTTCAGAAATGAGAGTGATCCTTAACTGATGGCTTTTTTCGGTCTATTTGTTGCATAAAGAAATTACTTGCGGTTGCATTTCGACGTCGTATATCTTGTTGATTTTTTTTTAATCTGCTTTGTACATTTCAATGGGATCATTTTCATTTGAGTTCATTTTGAGTACGCTTAATCTGAGAATTATAGGCGACGGCGTAAAAAATGTTAAATGCTAAAAGCTTTCTACAGATTGATTCACAAAGTATGAACGTGTTCAGTTTGAATTTTAATTGCATTGACACGTTAACGTTGTCACACAGAGCAATCTTCCAAGTCTTTACATATAAACAATTGATGATGATAGTATTTCCAACAAAGTTAATGAGCAGTCGTCCATTTTGCTGTTAGAAATTTTCTCATGCGATTGTTAAGCAGAGTAGCAGTGTTCAATTGTTTGCTCAAGCTTGTTGTCACACGAAATTGCTGCATTTCTCAGTCTCCATATGCGTTGTGTTCATTCATTCTAGCTATTCTCCATTCGAAAGAACAGTCCATTCAGGATGGATTCTAGCGCTTTGGCTTTACTAGTGCTATTTGATTCGATTTCCCTGAGTGTTTCACCCAGTAGCGCATAGCGAGTTGAATTGGAGATATCTGCATGATGTACTGAATCCTGCATAAAATGAAATCTATTCAAAAATGATTGAAGAGAATTTGAAAGATCGAATTGTTCAATCGAATTGCATCTTTCTGTTTTCATTCTGATTGTAGCTGGACGAATTGTTGGGCGGAATTCCGACTGAGGAGATTTTACTCAACTGAACAGTATCGTGCCCAGTGATCAATGCTAATCACATTCTCTGTGCTCTATGTCGGATAAATTTCGCTGCAAATTTCTCAGTTTTGCTGATGACATTTCAGATATTCAATTTGTGTGAATGAAATTCGAGAAAGGATTAGAAAACAGTAAACGTAACTCCATGTCTGATCGCTTCATGTGAATGTTTCATGATATGCAGTCGATAGATTAGGAAACGCCCGGCTGCTCGGTAAGATTTCAATTGCCCGATGTGTTGTCTTTGTTTTGTGTACATCAATCGTTGTCAGGTTATTTTTCAATGTTCGCGAGTCAGTCATGAACTAGTGTCAGTGAGTAATTACACACATTGTACTTTACACTTCAGCTAAGCAACTGGTTATGTTTTGTAGCAACTGCTACACGCAAAAAATTTTGATCATTTTTGCTTGCTAAAGGCTTTCTCGCTTCAGGTTTCTGATAAAAACAGCTTGGAAAATTAATGTGTGTAGGTGCGATGAAATCACGCTCTGCTACAGTCTGATCTTTGTTGATGCATGAACAACCGGTCCAAACAACGAGTAATTAGGATGGTGATGGTAGAATGCTGATTGTAATTCGCTTGAAAAAGTAGAAAGTGATCGATTCATCGAAACGGTTAGCTGAAATTCAACAAAACAAAAAAAAAGAAGACATTATGCATCGCTCTGAATTAGTCTGCTTCACAGACTTATTTGATACTGATCAATGATAGACTTTTACTCGGCTTTAGTGATCAAAACACCTAACTATAATTGGAATTGATACAAAACAAAATAAGAAATTCAAAGTTAATGCGCTTCAGCTCCATCTTCAATAGACAAACCAACAAGCATTATAAGAAAGATGTTTCGAAATGATAATATGATGACCACGCCACAAAGGCGAGTATCACGTCAGTCTGTCGCAACAACCTCCAGAATCGCCTATCCACTACAGCTGATCAGGTTCATCATTGTGGTTCCATCTCAACAAGGTTCGTTTTTTCTGAGGTTCAATTGATTTTGAAATGAATTTTCAAAAGGTACAACATTTAGACGTGCCAAAAGCAATCGAACACAGGAATTTCAAGCATGCAATATTGAATTTCAAATGCACAATTTCGTGTGTCAATTTCGATTTCATGAAAACAGAAAAATTCCTATGTGATGCGAGCACGTCTAACAGATTGCATGCAGCTAGCTNGCTAATTGATTTGAATGCAGAATTTGAATGGGAGCAACGAGCGATGTTTGACGACGTTCTGCCTGAAATACAACAGTATGCGGTGCAAATGGGTGTTGACTTGGAAATTCTAAAGCCGAATTTAGAAGCATTCGAGAGGTGTGAAATCTGTACGGTTATGGAACTGCTCGACAAACCGGCCTCTTATCTGATAGTGTGTCGTTCGTTCATACCGTTTACTAGCCACTTTGATCGTTTAGCACCGTGAAATCCTTTTAAGTGGAAGTTCAGCTGGAAAGCTGCTTCTTTGTCTCCATCGTTGGAGAAGCGCATCAAATGAAAAATCTTGACCGTTCAAGGCAACCTGATCATAGTTAGATCAGTTGTTGTTCGAATCAAAATTTTCAGTGCTTTCTCGGTGATAGATATGGAGATTGCGCATTGCCAATGGAGATGCGAGAGACAGAATTCGATTCAATTCGAACGTCAGCTTTTGAAGCATCCAATGGTAGGATTCTGTTAGATTTCAAGGAATCTCTCGACTGAAAGCAAATGAAACTCTGTACAAAAGCTTCATTGTGATCGAATCATTGGTGCGAAATATCGATGCTTAATCATGGAATGATATTGAAAACTGCATCATACTTGCATGATTGAAGTTATTTTGTTATTATAAAATCGTTTTTTCTTAAACAGACGTCCGATTGCTGGACAAATATTACGAACTGGACAAGAGCCGTAATCCAAACCAGTATCGTTTACGGGGAATCACAATTGATCCGACGGAACGAGATGCGCTGCTTACTGTGATACAAAATGGTGCTAAACAAGTTCGTATACGGCGATTATTTTAGTAACGTTTGACCAAAAAGTGTCGTTCAATAGAATCTGCGTTCAGCTGGAATTTTGCAGTTGATTTAAGGAATTGACAATTCTCACCACCAAAAAAAAGCGAATGGCTTTCGGGCGACGAAAAAAATTACTTCGTTTGACATTTGATTTATCACTAATCATTTTTGAAGTAGAAGGTCCGAAAATTGAATTTGAAGTGATGAACCAACTGTTCAAGTGAAGAGTAATATCATCAGTGCGGACGGACGTAATTGAACAAATTGAATTTTTCTCACCAACCCATTGAAATCACTGCCAAATACTCAATAAGCTCTTTAAAGGGTTCTATCAGAACTGATGATTTTGAGAATAAGTTTTCACTCAAACGTTTTAGGCGTTCGAAGACGGCATTATAAATCAAGTGAGCCCGAAACGACAGAGGCGATTTTTTTGCTCAACAACTGAACTGATAACAAGATGCGCGCTTAATAAACCGCAGAATACAACTTTTATAATGCGACGATTTGAAGGTTCCAACGATTTTGTTCCATCAAATCATCTTAAATTGTCAACTAAAATTTACATTGACTGCAAAATGGATTCTGTCGCAAGTTGAAAGAACTTGGAGCGTGTGTAATCGCACACATTTTGCATTTTTAAGCAAAAAAGTAAAAATGAAATTGAATTTCTGGTTGATGATGTTAGTCGTGGTTTTAGCCTGCGGACAATATTGACATGAGCAGTGACTGGAAAGATAATAATATTGTTGCTAACTTCAGTGGAATTGATAACAACATCATCGTTGTCACGACTAGCGCGAAAAGCTGACATATAATGCTAGCTAACTAATCATTTTTTGATGTAGGACGAGCGTCCGAAAATTGAATTTGAAGTGATGAACCAACTGTTCAAGTGAGAAGTAATATCATAGTACTTAAATCAAATAAGAATGATTGTGCAATGGGCAGATAGTGTAGTGGTGTAACGCTGGCTTTGAGGATCCGATCTGTTCAGAAGGCATGAGTTCGATTCCGCGTCAGTCCAGAATCTTTGACAAGAGTTTGATCTCATAGAAGAGCTAAACATAAGAATATCTCAATTTAAGAGATATTNAAAAAAAAACAGGGCTTAGTTTCGACAATCGTTAATGAGAGTGGCATTAGCAAGCATGTGAATTGCGATTCTAGTCAAACTATTGATGACATTAACGATTCATTATCAAGCAGATATGCGATGTGGTCATGGAAATGGCTTATGGGTGGATGAGACGGAGGAGGATCATGATAAGATGGAAAAATTGAAGAATCTGATATCAAGTACGAATGCATCGACCATATCCCTCACAATAAAGCTAGACGAAGGAAATGATATTGAATCGTGGCTGCGAACGAAAGCACATGATAAATATATCCAATCTTTCACTCATCAGGTCAATTCATTCATTCTGTTGTATGATGACCATAATTACACCGTTGATTTGAGCACAGTTCCATGTATTCTGTCATTGCCTGTTTTGCAAGTATTTGTAATTGTTTTAATCTCGGAATAGAAGCGATTACTATGATGCTCAGTACCGACTTAATGAAACGGCCTATGATCGGAGAGTTCAAACTAATAGTAGCCTTCATATTGCTTTCATGACTAGGTCTTAAGATCGATCGTTTGATAACGTTAATGATGCTGATAATGTGGTGGCGGAAATGATAGCGTTGATAACAAAAGTAATAATGATAGCAATAACTCAAATGATGACTGCTTATGCTAAATGCAGTGATTTAATAAATGACATTTCTTAAAAGAAGTATCGATCAGTAAATAAATAAGCTGAATGCTGAACTTAAGGTTGTTGATCGACTGCGGAATGTGATCTCATCGGTGGCAATTCCGTCAACGTCTACATTTTCGGCGTCTGTATTGGCAAGAATAGATGATGAGATGCATTCATCCTATGCTGTCTCAAGGTTACCGACCAAATGGATTCAACGACCGCAAGTTGATGGAGCCATGCAGTCATGGATGGATGAGTCGATTAAGAGTGCTTATATCCATATTGTCGGTGCAGATGCTTGTGGCAAAACAGCGTTGATATGCAAACTGCATAGTATGTTGCAAAGTAGAGATTGTTATCTTATTACAAGGTAACGCTTGAAGCTTCCTTTAGTCCTCATCAACTGAGTGCATGATTTAATTTGATCAGCTCATTGAACACATCTAAAACAATCCTATTTTCAATCTCACAGCAAATCGCTAGCTAACGTGAATGCATCATTTCGATGGGAACAGCTCTGGAAACTACCTCAAGAATGCATTCTCATAACAATGTAACAATAATTGCAGATTCATCAATTTAACGAATACATCGAATTTTGCGCATGAAATTTGGCATAATTTATGTCGAACGCTGTGTTATTTGTCAGGTCAAGATGAGAAACAGCTGCGGTGCTCATTTCATCTATCAACGACACTTTCAATATTCAAGTCTCTTCTGCAAAAACTAGATCGTCCGTTGTACATTCTATTGGATGACGCAAATTTGATTAAGTATGGACGAGCGCTAAGTGCACTGGATAAACCATTTAGAAAAATGCTTCCGAATCTGATTCTCATTGCAACTTCGTCAACGCCACTCCAAATTCCGTTCATGCCTGCACCAAAATCATTTCAATTACCCGTCTTCACAGATACTGAAATTATTGATCACCTAAAAGAATATGTGGTTGACATGGATAGGAGATTGACTGCTGATCAGTTCGGATTGATCAGACAACAAGTAAGACGTCAACAAAATTGATTCTTCCTCTCATCGTCAATTCCAAAAGAAAAAATCGTTATAAACTCCCCATTGGAGTCAAATATCTGCATTTGCCTCTGAATGAAACTTCTTAATTGGATTCAGTTTGGTTTTATCCATTCCCAGGTACCACTAAAATAAAACGAAAGCTGGTAGAAAAAATTACGAAGTAGAACTTCAAGAAGAGCAGCCGTTGAATTAGCCGTTTCAGTTTAGCGAAATTTTCGACTTGCTAAGGGGTGAATAGCANCAGCAGCAGCAGCATCAAAACTGAGACTAATTGGCAAAACAAAACAATTCCATGATTAGTATAAAGGAGTGGCATTTAGCTGGTGAATGGTGATTGCAATTTTATCGTTGGCCGAACGTTGGTTGATGAGATGTTATCGCGTGGTAATCGACCGATTCACAACGGTCTCGACGGTCGCTTCAGTCGCATCGAAGCCGATCTGGGAGTGATGCCCGTCAAGGTGTTTGCACAGTTGATCACTGCGTCACCGCACGGATTAACGAGTCTTGAGCTAATCGATGCATTATCTGCGCACACTGAACTGACTTCCATTCTATTCGACTCAAATGACGTCTTCCCCCCATTCCTCCTTTATCGCCTCATCGATACGTTTGGTTCGTTTCTGAAATGAGTTTTGGCCACAGCCTTATTTTAAGCAAAGCTTTTATCACTCCTTAAATTTATGATGTTAATGGTTAACAGTGTAAGTCTGAACGACAGACACATTACTGACAAATCTGAACAATTGACTTGCGCGATGTAGCGAAACTGATCAAGTGATCAAGTTGAGCTCGCTCATGTCATCAAGGAAAATTCAACGTTAAAAGTCAATATTTCTTTGCTGATTTGAGGATGCCTTCTCATCGAGTTTGTGGACCGTAATCGTGTTATTTATAAATGGAGCAATAATATGGTGATGTGTGCAGCTCGTCATCGATACCTTACATCTACGGTGAATTTTGTTCGTTTAGCATTTAGTGATTCTGCAAAATCAAAGCATTTCCAATCAGAAAGACAATTCTCGTGGTGAACGATTGTTTTTCGTTCCGTCGGATGAATCTCAGTAATGGTGACACTACGAAATTGTTCTATGAAAAAATTTTCAAGTAATCACCGAACCTGCATAGTCATCTGCTATCGCTTATCGCATCATTTATTCATTTATGTCGCCATGTAACCTTTTGTTTTCACTGTTCCTTTAATGGATTTTACNTACGAGCCTCGAAAAGACGTACAATTTTAGAACGATCTGAAACAAGCCCATACTCTGTTAGCTGATGTTTTCGCGGATATCTATTCTGAAGTTGACAGTATCTCACCGCGGTCTAGCAACGGACCCGCACTATTTCCAAGACCCCTGAAACGAGAAGATGGCTCTGTTAATGTGCGCAAAGTAAACAATCTTTGGTACCATCTACTTCATACTGGTAATTTTATTCACCATTTACGAATCATTAACATCCTCACTAACTTTGATATCAGTGCCGAGAGCGATGATGATATTAGTTACGTTTATTCTCATTTGTTTTTCAACATTACTGAAGATGCCACCGATTTCTCATATGCACCTTTGCATAACATCCATCAGAAATTCAAGCAGTGCCATTTTTTGCAATCCTAATGTTACCGCCACTGTTCTGTTATAAAATTCGTTATGCTTCCTAGGGATCATTGATGCATTCAACATTCTTATTCAATAATTCACTGAGAAATGTCATTCCCAGATTGCGGATATTCACAAAAAAGTTTCTCAGCAAAGTTTTCCAATGAATTCAGTTATTTACAAAAGAAAAAGGTTTTTTGCTGTCCAAAAAAATAAACTTGTTGATATATGAAAAAAAGGTTAGGCAACATGGACGCATTAAAAGAGTTAGCGTTGTGTCAATTCGATTATATTGATGCATGCGTTCGGTCATGTGGATTATCGCAACTGTTGAGTCTCTACGAGGAATGTTTAATGCAGGTGTTACATCACGATATACAGGTTCACGATCTCTCTCGTGTTTTGTTCGAAAAGCCGGAATGTTCTATTTTTACGATCATTACTTATGGTGTTCTGACTTGGAATTGCTCAATGATGATTTATTTGCGTGCTGTTAAATCTGACACTGTCGTAACGTTATTAGGTATGAGTGTGAAGATGATAAGTTTTTCTAAGCATCACCTTAACAAGGTGTTGGGTTTGAGGTGCTTTGTGAGCAAGTGCTACTTCCATCATTGAATACCGTTGTAAAGGATGGTGATCAATTGGCTGCGGAAATAATCGGGAGACTTCGTTACACGAGAGGTTCATTTCACTTGTCTTTCTCCGAGACTTTATTGTGATCGTATATAATCTAATATAAGCCCTCATTATATCCGTCGAATGCGTGCTAAAATGTGATTACAATGACCATATCCTCGGAAACAGTTTGACATCGATAGCATGATCAAAATTCATTATGCTTCATGGGGATCATTGAAGCCAACTTACTTATTTAGAATTAACACGAGTGTTCATTAATTTGAGAATGTTTATGATCAAAATCATTCAGTACATTATTCATTTTTGTCACTTCAAATGCATTGAGATTTCAAAAACATCCAATGCTAATTTAGCCCTTGTTGATTATACTTTTTTTACATATAACAAAAAAATCGACATTGCCCTGTCGATCCTTACTAATACCTCGTAATGCATTCGTAGCTTGTTTTCTGAGCAAAAAAATCCACTGACATGAGCTCAGTGAAACTAGAAACTAGCAGTCTCCTAACAAATTGTATGAGTGATAAATGAGTGGATAAGTTTCGATTGTTCCCTAAGTTTTCTTTCTGAGCTTTGCAATCTCCAAACGATGTTTCGATTGATTCAATGAACGCTCGGACGACCGTTTCATTTCATCAAATCGAATGAATAATTTCACTTGATTAACATCATTCGGTTGAAAGTTTTGTCGATTCGTTTGTTTGCTCCTCTTGAAATCTTGAAACGACAAAGCATTCTTCAGCTGAAAACAGTCATTTTCTGAATACGATGGTTGAGCAAGCGATGTCATGGGTTGACAATTACAATAAGCAACCACTTCTTGTGCCGCTTACATGCTGGATTAGTCCACCGGTTATGAAGCAGGTATAGAGCATCTTTCATGCCTTCATTTCTAACGCTTTGTTTCACTTTGTTTGAGTTTTTTTCCATCTTTGATTTCCTTTCCACTGTCATGCATTTTCAGTGAACCTGAAAATATTGCATTCATAGTTGTGAACACTCATTTCATTTACAGCATTTACACTTGAATTTCTGCTTCTGTTGCATGATATCGCACTTTGTTGCTGGCTCAAGTACCTAACTCTCATATAATTTCATTCCAAATATAGAACTAATTTCATAAACTATCCCACAATTTCATTTTAAATGCACACTTAATTGCTCACTTTCCAGTCAGTCACTGAATCACTTATCGATCCTCTCTCGTACCACAAATTCAGGTGCTTTCTCTAACGCTGAGCGATTGGAATTCGTGTCGTACCATATTGCAACCTACGCATAATCACCAGCATTTGCTGCTATCTGGTAACCAAGTATCAACCGGCCTTATCTATATGTACCACATTGCGTCACAACTTCTCATTCGTACATTCCCTGGTCAGTGCACTTCTACTTTCTGCGCATTCAATTAGCCAGGTTCCTAATTGGATCGGACAGAGACATCGAATTTTGGCTGCATCTCGCATGCAGAAGCGGTCGCTCTAGGACACAATAGGAGATTGAAAGGACTATATTATTAATCTCGATCGTAAATGAACTGATAAATGGCTGGCTATGAAAATGCCAGCGATTCATGCAATCTGTTCTTACAAGGCATCATATTCAATTGCAATTTCTCCTCACTATGCTCCAGGGAGTTCCATGAATTCATTGCGATATTTTNATATTCGGAGCAACTTAAATTACAGAATGAACCGTCAAGAGTACTGAAGCCACATAAAGGAAGAGTGATGTGTTCGTTGATAAGTTCCGATTGCAAGTTGATTATTACGGGAGGAACCGATTCGTGTGCTAATGTAATGCTTCTCATTTTCATTTCACCTTAGCTTTTTGACCAGTTTAGCGGCTCTCAATTGGTGAAGTCCTCGAAATGAAGATTAGTGAGCTAGGTATCAATGTATGACAATGAATGTTTGTTTTGCAGATGATAGGAGAGAATGTGTAAGTCTTAATGAGATAAACGTGCGATTGTACTGCATTGTTATTTGATGAAAACAGGGTCACATCATGTATTTTTTCATTTATTGAATAATTCAAACAGAATTGACCAAACGATTTATATAAATTCGTATTTGCAAAAGTGTACAGTAGATGTAGATTTTGCAATAGATGTCGGTCGCATCACTTGATAGGGAGGGGTCGGTTTAACAGTGCAGACACAACGTGTTCAGAAAGTGCTTTTTGTGTAATCGGTGGGAAGTGTTTTGCTATGTTTCGCCTGATAGTACTCATTTTATGATAGTGGAACTTTGAAGGTGATATGTGTTGAAAGCGGACAAGTGCTTCGTTCGTTCCGTGAACATACAGGTGCAGTGGTGTCAATCGCTCTCACTTCAAATGATGAATTCTTGGTGACAGGTGATTGATCATCTTCTCNAATGCCTAAACAAATCCCATATTCGAACGCAAAGCATGGTGATTTTGCAGGATCTGGCGATTTTGCTGTAATGGTATGGGATCTTGCAAACGGTGAACTCGCTGTTTGCCTTTCCGGTTTAATGGCGCCTGTATCCTGTATCACTATAACGAGGTGTTTTTTTTAAAATAATTTTCGCTATAACAAAATCATTCGAAGTCAGTTTATCGTGAAATATTCATTGTTAATATTCACTAATAAGTTCTCGTCGAATTGGCCGAATTTCACAGAATCCATAGAAATCACTGAAAAAATGAAAATGCGCTTTCAGTAACGACGCTTTTGTGATCGTAGCATGTGAAGACGAAACATTGCGGGTATTTTCAACAGTGTCTGGTCAGGAGCTACTCGAACTGTCCGGACACGATGGTAAAATCTTGTCAGTGGTCGCTGCGCATGATGACTGTCAACTTTTTGCTGCAACAATCTCAAAAATTTATGCCTACGATTTGCATAATGGCAAATTATTGGATATTCTCGATTGCGTTAACCAAAAACCAGTTACTTCTCTGAAGGTTCCTCGTTTTGAACTCATCATTATCAAATTGCATTTTCATTTTGTATACTTAAGGATATCATGCCATGCGCACTTTCACAATGATATGCATTCGTTTTATGACTAAAAAAGAAATTTTTGAAGCTGCGATCGATTTTTTGAATGCTAGGCTGTTGATTTTACTGAATTCAGCCTCATCGATACTCAATTCCAATTTCATTCTCAAACTTCGAAAAGTGTTCTCGTTCGTTGCATTCCGGCTCTGCTGAACTTTATGACGTTGTCGAAATTTTATCAAAATCATTGATTGTCATTTGCAGATAACAAGCGATAGCTCTTTTTTGTTGTCGGCTTGTGGTGATCGAATTGATGTGTGGAATGTTCGTTACAGATGCATAGAAACTGCTGACGATTCAAAGCCCGATCAACAAGGTCTATAAAATTCCACTCATCATTTCTGACCAAAAAGCCAACCGACCGTCTTCAGCAATGAATTCTTTCGCAAATATTTATTTTGCATTTACAACTTTGGTAATTGAGAACCATTTTGAGGTATTGTGACAGGCATTTGCATGTCGCGAGATGAAAAGAGTGCAGCGTGTGCCACACGGAACGGGACAGTAGCCGTTTGGGATCTTGATATATGTCAATGCATTTGGGCGGTTCGATTTATTTCATTCGTTGACGATTCACTCACTGATTATGATCAAAAATTTGTTCTTGTCTTGCCATTTCTACAATTACGTTTAATTCAACGAGAAGTCCATTTGGCATCATATGATCGCTTGTTTGATTGAGTATTTATTCCAGCAGAAATATCGTGCTATATCTCAGTTAATTTTTCGATATGATGCGAATAAAATTGAACGAATACAGTTTCAGATGATACAAAAGAAAGGTGTTGAAGTTAGCTGTGTGCAGTTCACAGTTGACTGTCTCCTGCTGATGAGCGGTGATGTCGAAGGCCAAGTGAATATTTGGGAGTCATCGAATGGTAAACTCATTCGATGTGTTAATGTAAGACGGCATTTAATCTTTTGATCTGCTTGCATTGTTGTTGCTCTTCAGATACTATGGAATAATCGCATCTGTACCGTCTCATTGCAAATGCGATTCATAAAATAGGACCGCAATCATTTTCATTAAATGCAAATATTTTAGTACCATAGCACATCGATTCAATCGTTGGTGTGTCTCGCAGACGGATGTCGAGTGTTATCTGTTGATGTATCGAATAAAATATTTATTTGGTCATTGATTGTCATCGATGACAGCTTAGAGACTGAACGACTGCTTACATTCAATGGCATCAAAGCACCTGTATTCCTTACCCCAACGAGCGTACATCTTGTTGGATATCTACCATCAAGTAATAAAGAGTACGTTTTCGTTGATATTCTTCACAGAAAAATTATTAATAGTCCAACAACACATATTTTATGATTACAATGCGAGTACTTAACCGTGCGATTCGCTGTCACGAGCAAACCAATACAGCCATGTATTAATAGAAAAAAACAATCTTAGAAAGTGATTTAAAGAATGAAGATCTGGATAGTTGGTGATGAGACTGTAACGCCGAAGACGAAAATCTATCACAATGAGGAGATCACTTGCTATACTACCACAAACAACGGCTCTCTGCTGGTTACGGGTTCTGCAGATCAGTCACTGAAAATTTGGCAAATTGAATCAGGATTTCTTACTCAGGTGCTCCGTTGAATCATTTTTAACTAACGTATACTCAGTCATATATGTGCTTCGATGTGCTAATGACGATGAGCTGATGAGAGTAAAAATTTCAGGTGTTGGTTGGACATGAAGGTATCATAAGGTGTTGTGCAATAGCCGAAGATGAACGCCTTGTGGTCAGTGGTGGAATGGACTGTCAAATTATTATGTGGCGAGTTTCTACTGGAGATGCTTTGCTATCACTAAAAACCAACGCACCCATTACGGCAATTTCAATTACAGCCGATGCGAGTGTTACTTTTTCTGGTCAGTTTTTCCCTTGTGTCATCAGTTTATTCAGTTCAACAATAATACACTTTTGGTATATTGTGAATGTATTGTGCATCTCAATTAACTATTGCGGTTACGTTCTATGGAACAACCACAAATACCGTTGATTTGGTGATAGATATCTAAAAATAAGTGATGAACAGTCAATGCATCCTGCCACTTACCTGCGTTGCTTATATCCCTTTCTCGATGCAATTTATAAAATTGAACTATTCGTGTTAACTTTCATCGCTCGCAATGAATTCGCGATGCTTCCAGCTGATGAAACTGGTTGGGTTGAAGCGTACGATACAGAGCATGGCCATCTTCTATCGTCGTTCAACTCTCATCGATCTGTCGAAAAACTTGTTCGTTGGAATTTATTTCAGTCTCCGATTCCTTTGACTGCTTTTGAAACAATTCATTAGTTTCATTGCATCTCAGAATGCTATTACATGTTATGTTTCATTCGATTTTCATGCATTTCTCACAGATATCAAATTGAAGGTCTCCTCAATGGATGGTAATCGGATATTAGCGTTACTATCGAAATGTGCTCAACTACCAATACTCTGCCTACACAACACACCTGCCGGAACGATGCTCACCAAAGCCAATGAACCAAGAAGACGTTCTGCACGTGCACATAGCATTTGCAGCCTTAACAGTCAGTATTCATTCCAGTTTTTGTTGCGTCACTAAAATGAATGGTATTCGTCAACATTGTTCTTCGACTCTTTTTTCAATCCTTCTTTTGAAGATATTTACTTCATGAAGATTTCGTCGCAGCACTCCCATCTATACAAATTGATAAATAGACGAGCGGTGCTTCATTTCATTTGGCTGCAGCCAATTGCCTAAAAACGCCAATAATAAATTTTGTTCATCCAGAAAAGCATGAGGATTTGAGTGAATGACAGATCGTAATTGTTGATAAGATTCGTCAATAAATTCACAGATAATATGTGGTGTGACCGGTGATGATATAAGGCGGTTGAATATGTACGGGTGAATTCATTCTCGGAATGATAGCATTTATAGGCAATATTAGTGAGCCGCGGACATCGTCGACAGCACTCATGTCATGCCAACAACATGTACAACTTCAGCAGCAGCAACAGCAGCAGTTAACGACAAATAATATGAGCCAATTAACGACTCCGAATTCGAATGGCGGTATGAAGATGACGCCGCGAACGTTCGATAAGATGGAACGTTCCAAATCTAGGGTATCCGTGGATGATAAAGATCGACCAACAAATTCAGTCTTAACTTCAACACCTACTGTACCTAATCCTACAACAACAAATGCCATCAGATCTAATTTATGCGTGGTTCTATGAAAATTCTGCCTAAATTAACTCATTCTCATGAGTGTGATTATCATCGCTATTATTACTTGTGTTATAATCTGTTTATTTTACAATTACTTCAACCAATTATTCCTTTTATTGCACAAAATCAGTGATCGTTCTTATTCTAATTTCCGAATAAACAATTACTAATCAAGTAATGTTTATGGAGTGCTTTCAGATGCTAATTTATTAAAACTCTCAAATTTTCGTTGGCTAGTTATTAGCTGATTTTTGCGATTGTTTGAGCGAGAGAATATAGGCAATGTGATATTGCCTTATATCAAATGTATTATACGTTTTGTGTTTTTCACATTATGATACCATGTTGTGTATAGTTGATGAATTTCATGGATATTTTATTTGTTAAGTTATCGTTTGTAGAGCGCATAATTAATTATTGTGATTGCTGGAAGTTGTGAAATTTGCTTAATATTGGGCATATAATGTTTTTTTAATGAAGAGTTTGTATGGATGGATAAACTCATCAAAGATTCAGTTCAATACGTTTACAAATACAGGTGCTGAAACACAATAGGAATCACGTATTGATGCACAGAAACGAAATCAGAAATTTTCAAAAAATCAGTTTAGCTGTAATTTTCAGCCTTCATAAAGCTTCAGTTCTGCAGTTCAACTTCGCTTTCCACTCAAATAAAGAAATTACACGAATCAGCCCTAAATTATGAATCGCACTGAGAGATATACATCATTAGCAAATCCAGAGCAAGGCTACGATAAAACGGTGAAAGTATGTGGTAAACATTCGCACATTTATGCGACCATTCCAGAGGCAATCATATTTACAAGCCAATCCGTCCCCTCAATCACTTGCAAGTTTACTTGAGGCGAATTGATCGCAAAATTGATCATTTGATTGATTGACCCTCAGGGTTTGCTGCTCATGCTAATTCTTGCACCGAGCAAGAATCGCTATCTGTTATCACATCTTCAAACGCTTCTCTTTGCTCTTCATCAGTTTATCCTTGTTATCAACTTTGTGGATNGACTGATTTTGGTTTGTTTATTTACTAGGTGATAGAATTGTTATGATAACTTCTGAAATAGTCTTCATAAACTTTAAATGATATGCACTGTCGAGCAGCGATAATCAAAGCTGAAAGTGAGCCGAGACCATCTATTTGTTCAATGTGGATCTCAGCTCCGGTCTGTGCCTCAACTTAAAGCAAAGCCCAAATATAATGCACCGCGATATTCCGTTATGATTATCGCCACTTTGCACCAATTCAACCAAATGAATCAATTTCCTATCAGAGACAAGTTACTTATATCATATGATGTTGACTCTACCACGATATGCCACCCTTTCTGTGTTGAAACTAAGAGGAAAGTTACACAGCCGGAAGTGAGTCGAGACCATCTATTTGTTGTGAGTCGAGACCAGTGAATGAATGCATCCATGAATATAACACATCATTATTCTTGTCCATCCGTATAACTCTTAAACGATACTTGAATGTTTCTTATCAACACAAACTTCACTATTTATCAACTCCCCTGCTAAACACCACTGAATTGTTATCGCAGTACTGTTTGCTCGGTACTGCCAGCGAATTCAACACCAATGATAACAAAATTTCTGTTTGATCTCGTGGCACGTGTACGATTATTCGTTATCATCATTACTACTATTATTACTAGGAATTTATCGGATGACAATAACAGTAAACAGACTGAGTAATGAAGAAATGTCGTGTGATAGCAATAACGATATCATTATCAATGAATGCGACATCAACCTAAAGCAGTGTCACATGTTTAGATAATCGCTTATTTTCTTTTCGTTGCATCCCATCTCTTTATTATCAAAATTATCGAAACATAAACATTTGATTCACGTAAATGTTCGTGGTATGAGTATTTAGTGGCTGAATTAGTTTACGTGCTTTACGACTAATCGAAATTCCTAGTTGACAGTTTTGCTTGGCCATCATCTGCAATAACTCTATTACATATTAGTGCCCTCATCATTAACTGCGTTCACTGCTGGTTATTGATGCTAATCATCTGAAAGGTTATTTCTATCATATTGCCGTTCACTGATCAAATATTGCCGTTGATTAGACCGTAGCATTGTTTTGCGTCATTATCACTTACAAAACGATTGGTTCATCAACACGATCCATTTGCACTCAATATTTTTTGCGAACAATGTCATTTGCATTTTTATCTGATGTATTCGTTTTCATCAAGTATATCTTCATGTTCAAGAGCATCATCATAGGTGATCACCCAAACCCATAAGCGTTATTTGATGCTCATCCGATGAAAAGTTTAGCATGAAAATGCGTTGTTGCATCTAATTACATCGTCTCTTGCTGGTCAGAAGCCACTCGAGCCACTCGAATTTCAGATGCTACTCAAAAATATACGAGAAAACTCATCACTGATTAGAACCATTCAGCGTGTTGCGTTGAGTGGATATTACGGTAGAAGTGAGCCATGTTTGGGCATAAGACGTGAAACAATAAACGCATGGGAACGACGTGCTCCCCTTGCGCCTCAGCATGTTAAACGATTGACAAAAGTGAGTGTATGCCCTGCAATTTTATTGTATTTTAAACCATTTTGAAATTTGCTGCCTTGCTTACGAAACTGAAAAGTGAAAGCATTGATTAAGTACTCTCTCGAATGCTTTCTTGATCTAGTCATCATAAGGTCTCCCAAACTATCCTATATTTGTAAGGTCTAACATGCAATTAAACCGACTACCTTAAATGAAAGTTCGGTAAAGAAATTGAGTATTGAAACAAACAGAAGCGCCGCCGTGCACTTGATTTCAACCATTTTTGGATGTAAGCATTTGTTTTCTGCAATCTGCTATTTTCCGACTCAAAAGTGATCTTTAATGTGAGTGTGTTAAAAATCTTTCACACGTCAAGCAATAACAAGTGTTGTGCATGATAAAATGTCAAAAACAATAATAAGACCTCAAAAATCGATTTGCATCACTTGCTCGACGTCCTTTAGTGTCATCATACTGTATGCGTACGTATGAACCGAACCGTAAGTCTAAACTTATAACGCCATTCTGTAGAATTCGATGCAAAATTTTACGCAGAAAATATCAAAAACTAACAATAAGTTTGAAAGATATTTTCAAATGGCCGCACTCAATACAACCCATACAATGTTAAGACCGTACTGCAATATCAAGACAGAACCGACCTCAAAGAATCAAAAACCATTGCAGAAAGGAATCAAAGTGTTGATTCAACCATCCAATAGACGTGTGTTTCGGTTGCAAGATTACCTTTCGGCTGGAGCGATTGCGAGAGAAGATCTTTCTGAAGCACAATTGATTATCTCTGTTAAGCAAGTCGGTTTCACTTGAATCCTTGCAACTTATCGCTGATCGTTTCGGCAATGAAATATTGCTGTTTCCAAGAGCTTTCTACACCACATTCATGATAGCACTGAAAATTTCTCATCGCTTTGGCCAGATTTTCACATTTCTTTTTGCTACGTGTGAAAACAAACTAATTCCAGTTGCACTAATAAACCATTGATAAATTCATCAGATTTAGGTGCCAGTTGAGCAGCTGATTCCGAATAGAACTTTTGCGTTCTTTTCACATACCATCAAGGCGCAACCGGATAATATGGCGATGTTGGATACGATTTTGCACAGGGTATGATAGTGCTATAAAATGGATTAATTGTTCTCAATCGCTTTATTCAAATCAATTGGAATATCTCGTTGTAATGTGATAGAAAATGCTCAAAATGTGACGACTTATTGAGTGCGTATGCCAAATGAATAATAGTGCGTTGGATTGAATTTCAGAAAATTCGCTTGATCGACTACGAAAAAATAGTGGATAACCAAGGACGAAGACTAGTGATGTTTGGCAGATGGGCTGGATACGTGGGCTTTATTGACATTCTTCACGGACTTGGATTACGCCTTTTAGCACTTGGACATCACACACCTTTTCTTGTTGGTGACTCATGTGACTCAGTTTCTCAGTTCCGCAACATATAATTATTTTTAATCGGAAGCTTTNGGTTGTTTAATCGAAGCATTCCTAAAAGGATGGGGTGATAAAGGAAACAGCAAGAAGCACGGAATAGCACAAGGCCATACTTGATAAGAAAGCGATAATAATCACGGCTAATGAATGCGATCAATTTTGACTGCCGAAAATACTTTGCAAAACCACGTTCAAAATTCATTCAAATTTTGATGGAGGAGCAAATGTATCGCAAAATGACTGCATCAGATCAATAATGAACATTCCGAAAAAATTGATGTCGCAAAATTAAAACTTAAATTGAGTAAATCTCAGCACATCGGCTTAGCTCACAACTATCGTGACAGTCACATGGCAATCAACGCGTTACGCGACGCTGGCTATGAGATTGCAATGAATAATATGCCGCGGTCGTTAGGTCCGCTAACGTTTGTATTCACCGGTACTGGGAATGTCTCGCAAGGAGCACAAGAACTGTTCGAACATCTGCCGCACGAATACGTCGATGTTACTGCATTACCGAAAGTTGTCAAAAAAGGACGTCAGTTAATAATGAAAACTGATTTACATCTATTTGTTTATATGATTCACAAATGTTTATCTATGAAAATTTCATTGAAATGTTCGATTCATTAGTAAATGATATTTTTTTTAGAATTGAACAAATTATATGGGTGCGTTGTTGGACGAAACGATCATCTTGTGCACAAAAATGGTCTCTTGTAATTTTCAATGCCCGTTCATTGTTTCTTCCTGAATATCTCCGTTTTTCGGCAGTTTCATAATAGTACAGACCACTCAGCTAACAAGCAACTTAAACTTAAACTTATAAATTCTTTCAGGCGGACCATTCAATGCTGAAGAGTTTCAAGAACATCCTGAACGATTCTTGTCACGGTTTGCCACTGAGGTATGCGGTTAGTTGATTTGATAATGCGAGCCAGATTCCCAACCTGAGCATTAAGTTATATTTGTTTGAATCGTTTCAGATCGCACCGTACGCATCAGTGATTATAAATGGTGTTTATTGGGAACAAAATGCGGCACGTCTGATCACAATACCGGATGCTAAACATCTGCTAACGCCTAAAGCTCCAGGTCCCGAGGTTCCCGGATGCCCAACACTTCCGCATAGGTGACAACATACTCCCCTGATCAGTTACAAATTTTCAGCCTTCTGTCAACTTTTTGAATGATCCAATAGAAGCGATAAGCATTGAGTTCAGATTGATCGCTTTATGCGACATATCAGCTGATCCGGGTGGTTCGATCGAGTTCATGAACGAGTGCACCACTATTGATCGACCGTTCGCCATTTACGATGCTGACTTGAACCAGTGCTCGGCGAGGTTAGCTATATCACTTTTGTTCCAACCGAATGAAATCCTATCGGATGAGCCAGCTGAATTCGAACTCGTCAGATAAACAAATCACCAATTTCTCTCAAGCAGTGTTCTGAAACCACTTGTAGGAAGGAATTTTGCAGTTTCGATACTCCGAGCGGTTGTTTGGTGTGCAGCATTGACAATATGCCCGCACAAATACCATACGAGGCCACAGAAGCATTCGGTGATCTTTTGTATCCATACATTACCGATATGGTTCGTTTCAGCATTAATTCACCTACTATTCATTCATTTCAATTGTGACACAGTCGTTTAAGTGAGTGAGTCAGCTTTTGAGCGACACTCTTTTATCAGTATCCATAAAAAGCTTACATAATCGAAAACGCATAATTTAAAAGTCAGTTACCGAAACGCAATTCCTCAAAACTATCAAATTTCAAGTTATTTGATAAATGATATTATCAATATTTTTTCGAACACTTCTTTCTTCAG